CAGCTTGTGAGAAACATGGCATTTCTTAATATATGTCCCAGATCGTGGGCTGGTCAGTGAGGTATGAGTTATCTCTTCAGAGAATCTACTAAATCCAAGGAAATCTGGGTTGAAGTTACGAACCATAAACTGGTGGAAGCAGGATGTGGAAGACCCTTGTTTTTGAATGGGTTTCTTTTAATATGAAAAACAAAAATGCTATTTTGTGGTTTTAAATGGTACCTCATATTTATTGGCACACTTTGGCATATTTGGAAAGGATCGCAATAAAATGGTTTTTGAAAACATTTCTGAACCGCCATTCAAACTGGTCTAAAAAAGCGTAAGGTATTATGTTCAAGAGATTGACCGGGCTTTCCAATCCCCTTTCCACCCCAACCTATCTCAACCTAGACTAACTGGTGTTTCCCACATCGCAGGTATACTCAAGCTTATATACGATGGATGTTCTAAAGGTCACCAAGGTCAGATTGGATAGGGCGGTCTGCTGCGTGATGAACGCTGGCACTTGGCTTTTGGGATATATGGCAAGCTAGGTCATAGCTCAAGCTTGGTGAAGCTAAACTATAGGGCATTTTACAGAAGCCTCGCCATCTCTTTCAGAAAGGGCACCCATGGACTGTGGAAATCAAAACAGATTCTGAACAAGCCATCATCCAAATCCAATATGGTCCAAGCAACAACTCACCTCATAAGGCCCTTATTGAAGATACAAAGTTTCCATTAGAAAGATGCAACTGCTCCCGTTAGTCACTCATTCAGAGAGGGAAACAGAGTTGTAGACAAGCTTGCAAACATGGGAGTAGCCCAGAGCGAGCATTCGTAGTTTTAGAGGACCCACCCGAGAAAGTGAGATCTCTGGTCATTGATGATATGATTGGATAAGTATTGCAAGGGACTAATCTTCTTGATTTTGAATGCTACTTTAACTTCTGTATGCTTTTCTATTTCAGTTGAATAAAATAAAATAAAAAAGATAGAGCATCCTGTCTTGTTTGAATATTTAAATTATTTATTTAAATATAACATTTCGTATGTATTATTTATAATAAAAAATTAGATTGATATGACAATTTATGATTGTTTTTATTTTATTGTGTTCATTTTCAATAAAATAAAATAAAATAGACAATAATTTATTTTTTGAGACCATACATCATTTTTTTAAAAAGACAAACTAATAATGTGATTATCAAATTGTTCTAATTATTATAATATGAATGATTTAGATTATTAAAATAAGGCCAATGACAATCCTACACAAATATGAATATACCAATCAATTTTATATTTTAATAGAGAGAAATCAAACCCAGAATTTGAAAAAAAAAATTAAAAATTGACTGCAATAAATAATCAAATCTTTAACTTTCTAGTTATTTTAATTTAAACCATGAATTTTTTAATGGTATAAATTCTAACCATCCATAAACAATTTAACCATTCTCCCCTTTCATTACTATTGATAGCCATCTCCTAACCTTGCATTGTTCCATCGATATTCCTTTTTATTTATTTTTTTATTTTCCATCCATTTTTTCCCTTGCATAATTCTCTCCCATTTCCCATCTCACTGTCACCCCTCTCATTTATTTATTCTGCAATTATTGCCCAACAATGATAGAGACCGCTAATTTTGAAACTTTAAAAAGATCATTAGTGACACGGCACTAAATAAAAAAAAGAAAAACAAATACAACATCAAGGTCAAAACATCAAATCATTCATGGTGGGCGCTATTACAACATCATTAGTGGTTCTCCTTCATTGCCACTGCCGTTATCCACACCCACTGATAAAAAGTGATTAAATTGTTTTTTTTGTTTTGAGGGCTAAAAACCACAATGGGTTTTTTGACAAAAAAATAAAAAATCAGCTTTTAACTTTTTACTTTATTTTGAGTCACATCACTTTTTATATTTTTTATTAATAAAAAGACAAAATAAATTAAAAAAGCTAGGCCGTTTGGTAACACTTACGTTTTCGAGTTTTTGTTTATATTTACAAAATTTAAAAAACTCAAATAAAAATTTGTTTGGTAAATTTTTGATTTATAAATCAGTGGTCTTAGTTTATAAATTTGGCCAAAAAATATAAACTAAAAAAATATATTTCCGTTTTGAGTTTTGAGTTTTTTTTTACCATCCAACACTAGCCACCACCCGCCGCCACCCACCACCTGCCCCACCACTCACCACCACCTGCCGTGCCGCCAGATCCACCACTCACAACCACCAGCCACCCCGCCACCACCAGCCACCAGCCACCTACTCGCCACCAGCACTAGCCACCCACCTGCCACCACACCACCACTACCATCACTCACCCCCACCTACTTTGAGGGTTCAAGACTAACACTCGCCACCACCACCACCACCACCCACTCCACCACTACCACCACTCGCCACCGTTACCCATCCACCCACTACCACCTACCTGCCACCACCCACCACCACCCGCCATCCGCTACCACTTACCACCCGTCACCGTCACCCTTACCTACCCACCCATCATCACCACCCACCACCACCCGCTATCCGCCATCCACTTGCTGCCACCACCACCACCTACTCGCTACCACTTGCCACCGTCACCTACCCACCCACCACTACCACTCACCCGCCACCACCTACCACCACCAGCTAACCACCACCCACAATCACCACTTTCCACCACCGTCTTCCGTCGCCACTTGCCACCACTTGCCATTTCTCACTCTTTTTTATATTTTTAAATTTTTTAAAACATTTTGTCAATTACTAAACGCGTTTGTAGTTTATGTTTTTCTAAAAATTAACAAAAAATAAACAAAAACCAGTTTATAAAATTTTTGTAAATATAAACTGAAAATGTAAACGTTACCAAACAGATCCTAAAAATTCAACTTTTTACTAAATTCTCAAAACACTCCAATATGTTAAACATAAAACTTAATAACATCAGTTGCCAGATCATAGTATGATTGAATTACATTTCTTCCTACCTTAATAATACAAAGAAACTCAAAAAGGGGACTTACGTGTAGGTCCTAATAAGTGGGCTTATTGTCTAATAGGTCCCATGATAATTAATAATATTTTTCATTAAACACTATTAAAAAAATGTCACTAATTGTTAATTTTTAGCGACAGTATGAAAATTTTGTCACAAAAAATATCACTAATTATAAGTTTTAGCGACAGTTTAAAAAAATTGTCATTAATTCACAACTTTTAGCGATAATTTAAAAAATTCGTCACAAAAAAACATTACTAATTGTAAGTTTTAAAGACAATTTATGAAAACTATGACAACAAAAAGTCACTAATTATCAATTTTTAGCGACATATGTAAAAAATCGTCAAAAAAAATAATTTTTAGTGACGATTTTATTAAAACTTATTTTTAATAGGTAATGAGAATTAAGTCTAACTATTAGGAGCCATTGATAATTTATTCTAATACTATATAATAGCATTAGTAATAATTATAATCCGCCATTCTGTTGCCTAGACCTGCCGGATCAGAGTCCGGATCCTCTCCAGCCAACTCTCTCCAGCCATCCTCCTGTCAAGGGCCAGGATTTGGCCACGTCACTTTGGCCAAAACTTGCGGCTCAGATCAGATGCTTGGTAATAAAATTAAAAAACAAAAAATGAATGTCATTTCATTTTTCTCAGCAACAGAGCTTCTCTCCCTTCCACTTTTTCCCTCCATATTCGAAGCTTTGGTGAATGACGATCGGCGATGAATCCAAGTCCGCGGCGAACATCGACCTTCTCTCCCTCTCTCCCTTTGTCTTACACCGAAGATTTGAGCCACTATTTGAGCTGCCTGTCGCTCTCTCTTTCCGATTTCATCCTGCCGATGTGTACCATCCATGAGGCATAGTGATCACAATTATTTTCAGATTCTTGGTTGCAAAAGAAAGGAAATTAAAATCTATGAGAATCTTCTCTTCTCTACAGAAGAGGTAAAACATAAAACACTGAAAAATAAATAAAACAGAAAAGTAAAAGAAAGGAAATGGAAGGGGTTGCAATTCAACACTGACCTCAGTATGCCATTGCAGAGGATTTTTTATTTTATTTTTTAAAAAAAACAAGACAACAAAATGCAAGCAGTAGAAAAATAAACAAATCAATCTAAAAGCAAAAGAAAAACAAATCTCAATAACAACTTTAAAAGGGGTGAAAAAAAACAAATCTCAATAACAACTTTATTTGGATGGAGGGCTGAGCCATAAACACAACAAAACTCTACAGTGGGAAGAACTTTGAGCAAACTTACAAGCTCAGCTTTCTTTTTGGTTTCCATTGTTACACTTGCATCCAAACAAGTTATAATTACACACAACAAAATTAAAGGGAGAGAGGGAGACACCGGCAGATGAAATCGTGGCTGAAATCTTCGGATTACGACAATGGGAGAGAGGGACAGTCGATGTCGATTTGCCTACGATCGTCATTCAACACAGCTTCGAAGAGGAAGGAAAGAAGTGAATGGAACGGAAGTTCTGCTGCTATGCTGAATGATTTTTTTTTTTAATTGCCAAACTTGATCTGAGCTGCAAGTTTTGGCCAAAGTGACGTGGCCAAATTCTGACCCTTGACGGGAAGATGACGGGAGAGAATTGGCTGGAGAGGATCTGGACTCGCGGGATCATTTTGACAAAAACTTGGCAATTAGTTTTGACAGTGATATACTTTATTCCATGGTCCGCAGCCCAACGAATACGTTCCAAACATGCATTGGTTTCAGCTACAGCAGTGAATTTTGTAAAGGATTAAATTATTTGAAGTGTTTCTATTTCGTTAGTCATAACCATAATCAATATATATATTTTAAAATCAATAGTTAAAAAAAAAAAAAAATTTATGAATGTGGTCAGATCTTAATTAATTTTTTTTTAATAATCACTCTTCAAAATATTTATGTGACTTTACAATTGAAAAGTACACACTGCCATATGGGTGGGACTTACCAAATTTTTATTTAATTTTTTTCCTCTAAGGAAAATGAGGAAGATGTTGTATTGACCTCAGAAAGGTTGGATTGGGCCTTCCACCTTGAGGCGGTCCTCCTCTCTAGTAGTAGTAGTCAGTCTTCTCTTCTCTAAACCACCCCCCAAACTGCACTCCAAAATACACACACATTTGATCCCATCTACCATCTTCAATATCCTCTGCACACACCTCAATCCAAACCCATGTAAAAACCCATCACAAAACTCCATTGTTCTTCCCATTCCAATCGTCTTCTTCAACTACAAAACCCCATGGCCTCCTACATCGGCGCCAACACCCGCCGGGGAGGAGGTTGGGTCCGCTCTCTCCTCCCCACCTCCGCCGCCACCTCCTCCGCCTCCAAATCCAAACACTCTCGCAAGTACCGCAAACGCGCCGCCCTCAGAGACTTCATATTCGCCAACTTCTTCACTATCGGCCTCTTCCTCTCTCTACTCCTGTTCCTCATCGTCGTCTTCCGCTACGGCGTCCCCAAACCCTTCTCTTCCCATTTCCGCCGCCGCAATCACAGGCCCCGAAAGCCGATTTATCGGAAACCGCCGGCCTTGGCCGACCGCGATGTTGTTTCCGGGGCTGCTGTGGATATAACGACCAAGGATTTGTATGATAAGATCAAGTTCTCGGATGTCGATGGTGGGCCGTGGAAGCAAGGTTGGAGGGTGAATTATAAAGGGAATGAGTGGGATTCTGAGAAATTGAAGGTTTTTGTTGTCCCTCATTCGCATAATGATCCGGGTTGGAAGCTCACTGTTGAGGAATACTACGATCGACAGTCTCGCCATATTCTCGATACCATCGTCGAGACTCTTTCCAAGGTGATCTGAGTTTAGTTTATTGGTCTCAATTTGGCTGGGTCTGTTGTGAATTGAACTGGGTTATTTATTCCTTTTGGTTTGGAGCACAAGATAAGGAGCATTTCTTGCTATTTCGTTTGGGTTTATTCATTTTTTCTCAAAGCAAAAATATTGATAAACCATGATTTTGCTTCAATCAATGTTAATTAAAATGCTGGACAATCTGCTTTGTTCAATCAACCCGAATTCACATTTTTATTTTTACAATTCTGGTTGAATTTGAACAAATTAAAAACAATACTACTAGTTACATGAAGTTTGGTGTTCTACTGTTTTGAAGGCCTATCATTTTTTTAATATTAAAAAAAAAAATTCAATTGTTCTAAGTAAATTAACTTGGATTGTTGCTTCTGTAACTGGCTTTACAGGAATTTTATATTCATGTAACTCATAAGACTTATATTTTGTTACAAATTCATAGAAGTAAGAAAATTGGTTAACTAATTGATAGGGGAGACTTGTATACTTTACATTTTGAAGAACCTTTCTGTAGCCATCCACTTTGACAATCATATTTAAGAAACAAAAATTGATAAGTTATACAACGGTAGAAGGAAGAGGAAAGGATGTATAAAGTATTAGTTTTTTTTTTTTTTGTCAAATAAGTATTAGCTTCACAAAGGATATTTCAGTCATTTACTTTGAAAATGAAATACTTGTGCAGGATTATGGGTTAGAGAATATTTGAATTTGTTGGCCTTGAAAACAACTAATGGGGCTATAACGTATGAGTATTTATTGTTCTTTAACAGATGCCTGTTGCCAAGTGCTCCTTTTTGGGCGGAAAATCTTAATTATGACGCATGTAATTGAACTTAATTTGGGTTAATTAATAGTTCATTGATATTATTTTTTTCAGGTCTATGGTGAATTGTTTTTAATTTTGAATGCTGCATTGATTGAGATTCTTTATGAACTTGCTTTTTAGGATTCTCGCCGTAAATTTATATGGGAAGAGATGTCTTATTTGGAGAGATGGTGGAGGGATTCCTCAGATATTAAAAGAGAATCTTTCATCAATTTAGTGATGAATGGACAGTTAGAAATTGTTGGAGGTGGTTGGGTGATGAATGATGAGGTAAGATCCATTAAAATGTAGTTAATTTTAAGCTTCTTCTCCCCATATCCTTCCTCCACTTCAGTTGGTTTGAATGTCTCATCTTTTTTTCATTTTGGCTGCCTTTAAACTTTGTTTTGGTATGGATTTGGCTGTGATTTCATTTAAGTTTAGTTCTACTGGTATATGTTGTTTTATGCTAACTTAGATGCGTCATCATCTTGTAATGCCATGCTTATTGGGCACTAACAAATGTATGATTTTATCTCATGTTGGATTTCTCTATTGATCTTTTGGAAGAATTGGTTATCACTATAAAATTACTTGCTGTTTCACTTTCATATTGGTGGGAAATAAAACTAGCCTAGGCAATTTAAACTGAAAGGCCGAGTGGATGCGTTGAGTGACAACTCAATTGATCACAGTAAAAACAACGCTCAATTAGTACACATTAATGTGTGTTTTTGGGAGGAAAAAGATTGAGTACACACTTAACCTTTGGCATAATGCACAAAGTGATAGTTTCAAGACTTGAATACATAACCTCAAGGTTATTTGGCCAAGTCTTAACCATTGAAATAAAAAATGGTTATTAGGCCATCACAGTGATGCACAAAAATAAAAAATGCAAGGCACTCAGCTGTCCCATATGAACACAGGGATGTGAGGGCAAATGCCTATTGCTTCTTTAGCAATGTTGGTAAAAGCGTGCTTAAAGTGCAACAGTAGGGTAGCTTGTAGTAGTTAAAATGACGCACATGTACAAAAGTGCGTTTTTGTGCTTTTTATTTTTTGTTTAGTATTTAAAAATACATAATTTGTTAGTTTTAGTGGTTAGATCATAACAGGAATAATTTGACCTTTGATTTGTTTTATAAATACCAATGTTTTGGTACTCTTGTGAAAACTTCCATCACAAAAGCTATTAGATCTGGTCTTATCCTAGGATACGTAACTGGCCTTGAAAGGGTTTCAATTAATGCATGTCTTGGGATTTGTGGACTTGGAGTAATCGGTGTCCATCCGTGATTTTGACTTCTTAATCCTTTGATTTGAGTGGTCTGGTTCTTAGCTATGAAATTAAAGATTTCTCCCCATTGAAGACATGAAAATGGGATATATACGTTGCAGCTTGGTTACGAGCTGTCAAGTGATAATGCCTCTCTTGCTATATAATAGCAACTAAAAATCTATTAAAGCTTTATGAGTTACACATGAAGGGCAATTTGTTTCCTTACATTAGCATATGAATTCTTTGGAAGCACATTACTCATGAGGTTTCGGAAATTGACACTCATGATATTCTCTTGCACTGATGTGATAGCCTCCTAGCAACAAACGTTAAGGTTGCGTTTGGTAAAGTTTTGTAATTATGATTTGAGAATATGAGTTGTATTTTGAGTTTGTGAGGTTTGGAATTATGATTTGAGTGTGGAAAATTTGTTTGGTAAAGCGTTTTGAAAAGAGTTTTGATTTGAGTGGAGAATTGTTGATGTAGCATTTGATATTTGATACAAAAATTTACAACTCATAACCAAACATACAATTCAAAATTATTTTAAAGTACATAAAAAATTTAAAAAAATTCAGAAAATGTTTATTTCGATTATATAAAAATTAACATATCAAAAAATAAATAAATAAATAAATTCACTATTCCGGTCAACCGGCCTGACGATCGGTTAGGCAAAATTTGCCAAAAAAAAATTCCGAAAAGCGCGCCTGAGACAGAGTTCTCTGCAGAGTTTTGGAAAACTGATTCTAAAACTCCTACCAAACATGATATTCAAATGTAGGTGTAGAATTATGTTTTCAAAACACAACCAAACGGAGCCTAAGTGTTTTATTTATGAAAAAACCTCTTCACTGTCTTTGTCTCTGTCTTTGTCTTCTCTGTCTTGAATTTTGATGTTTGGATTCTACACGAAACATATATCTCTTTAATCAATGTAACATGGAAGAACAATTTGTTGCGCATGGAAGTCAAAATCCCTAGATAGAATGAAGTTGTTTACTTATGTCAAGGGCTGAAGGAAATATTTTTCATTGATTCTCAAAGAAGTACATTGAACAAGCTTGACTTACATTTGTTTAATTTCATTTTTTGCAGGCTAATTCACATTATTTTGCTATTATGGAACAGGTACGGACCTCCCTCTTCATAAAATTTACATTGACATATGTTTTTAGTATCTAAATGGAATAGTTACATTTTCAGTATCTATATTTAATAGTTAATGCATTCGGCCTTCTACTTATGGTTTAAGGCCTTTTTTCTGTTTTACTGTAAAAAGACTATGCGGATAGATGCCTTATCTAAAGACTATGCAGATGATTATTCATAGTAGATTTCTTATCTTATGACCAGTAATGATTATGTCATTGTGATCTTTTTTATGCTGTTATTTGTTAATAATGTAAATAATCTCAAGCAGAGAAGGCTCAATTTTAATAAGATCCCAACAGTAGAACTAAATACCTTTTAACACTGGGACTTTAGAGTGGTAATGCTTTCGCATAGTTCTCTAACATAATGGTATTGGTTTGGACTTCTACCCTTCTGATGAAAAAGTTTGCCCAGGGAAATTTGATCACTCACATCAGCATGTGCAATCATATACTGTTTCCTATATTTCCTGATGCGTGGATTTTCACCACCTCTTTTCACTTGAGTGATGATAATAGGTCACTAAGGTTTATATATATATATATATATTTTAATATGAGAGTGCTCTCTAAATTTTGTTCCATTGATGTCTTAGATGATGGAGGGGAATATGTGGTTGAACGACACCATTGGGGTTGTTCCTAAAAATTCTTGGGCAATAGATCCTTTTGGTTATTCATCTACCATGGCGTATCTTCTGCGTCGCATGGGCTTTGAGAACATGCTTATACAGAGGACCCATTATGAGCTTAAAAAGGAACTATCTCTGCAAAAGAATTTGGAATACATATGGCGACAAAGCTGGGATGCTGAGGAAACAACTGACATTTTTGTCCACATGATGCCTTTCTATTCTTATGATGTTCCGCATACTTGTGGGCCAGAGCCTGCAGTTTGTTGCCAGTTTGACTTTGCAAGAATGCGTGGCTTTGTTTATGAACTCTGTCCTTGGGGAGAACATCCAGTAGAGACCAACCAGGAGAACGTGCGGGAGAGAGCACTCACACTGCTAGATCAGTATAAGAAGAAATCAACATTATACCGAACAAACACGCTTCTTGTTCCCCTTGGAGATGATTTTCGTTACATCAGCATCGATGAAGCAGAAGCACAGTTCAGAAACTATCAATTGTTATTTGATTATATCAATTCTAACCCCAGAAGACGCGGAGATGCTTGGATACACTGAGCAAGGAGATGTTTTTCGAACACTTCGAGAGGAGGCTGACAGAATAAATTATTCACGTCCCAGTGAAATTGGATCTGGTCAGATTGGAGGTTTTCCTTCTCTATCAGGTGATTTCTTCACTTATGCTGATCGACAGCAGGACTATTGGAGTGGCTACTACGTATCTAGACCTTTCTTCAAGGCTGTGGACCGTGTATTGGAGCATACACTTCGTGGTGCTGAAATGATGTTAGCTTTCTTATTGGGACACTGCCAGAGATCATCATGTGAAAAGTTGCCAACTGGTTTTGCCTACAAGTTGACAGCTGCAAGAAGAAACTTGGCTCTTTTTCAGCATCACGATGGAGTAACTGGTACTGCGAAGGATCACGTGGTTGAGGACTATGGAACTCGGATGCATACCTCTTTACAGGATTTGCAAATTTTCATGTCTAAAGCTATTGAAGTACTGCTTGGAATCCGCCACGAGAAATCTGATTCTCACCCAGCTCAGTTTGAGCCAGCACAAGTGAGATCTAAATACGATGCCCAACCATTGAACAAAGCGATCAGTGCACACAAAGGAACTGCACAATCCGTAGTCCTATTTAATCCTCTGGAGCAAACAGGAGATGAAGTTGTGATGGTTGTTGTCGACAGGCCGGATGTGACCGTTTTGGACTCAAACTGGACATGTGTCAAAAGCCAAGTGTCTCCCGAATTGCAGCATGATAAAAGTAAGATTTTTACTGGGAGGCACCGAGTCCATTGGAAGGCTTCTGTTCCACCTCTGGGATTGCAAGTATATTACATTGCTAATGGGTTTGTTGGATGTGAAAAGGCCAAGCCAGCAAAACTCAGAATTTTCACAAAGGACAACCATTTACCTTGCCCCGCTCCATATGCATGCTCGAAATTAGAAGCTGACACTGCGGTAATCCAAAACCGGCATCAAACTCTTACTTTCGATGTCAATCTTGGCTTGTTGCAGAAAATAAGCCGTGAAGATGGTTCTGAAGATGTTGTTGGTGAAGAGATAGGTATGTATTCTAGTTCAGAAAGTGGGGCATATTTATTCAAACCCAATGGTGATGCTGATACTATTGTCAATGCTGGTGGGCAGTTGGTGGTATCTGAGGGTTCTTTTATGCAGGAAGTTTTTTCTTACCCGAAGACTTTGTGGGATAAAACTCCAATCTCACACAGTACCCGTATTTATAATGGCGATAACACTGTACAAGAATTTCTCATTGAGAAGGAATATCACGTTGAGCTTCTTGGCGGGGAGTTCAATAATAGAGAACTAATAGTTAGATACAAGACAGACATTGACAACAAAAGGATATTCTATTCTGATTTAAATGGATTTCAGATGAGTCGGAGAGAAACCTATGATAAGATTCCTTTGCAAGGAAATTACTACCCAATGCCCTCGCTCGCCTATATGCAAGGACCAAATGGTCACCGCTTTTCTGTTCATAGCAGGCAGTCATTGGGTGTGGCAAGCCTTAAAAATGGATGGCTAGAGATCATGCTTGACCGTCGATTGGTGAACGACGATGGGCGTGGTCTTGGGCAAGGAGTGATGGATAACCGACCAATGAATGTAATTTTCCATATCCTTGTGGAATCCAACATTTCCTCCACTCCAGATCCTGTTTCAAACCCCCGACCCCTAAGTCCCTCGTTGCTCTCTCATCGAGTTGGTGCCCACTTGAACTATCCATTACATGCATTTATTGCCAAGAAACCACAAGAAATATCTGTGCAGCCACCGCCAAGATCCTTCTCTCCTCTAGCTTTCAACTTGCCATGTGATTTGCATATTGTGAGTTTTAAGGTTCCTCGTCCATCAAAATATTCTCAGCAACCCACTGGAGACCCTAGGTTTGTTCTAATTTTGCAGCGGTGGCATTTTGATTCTTCGTACTGTCAGAAAGGCAGGGCTCAATGTTCGAGTGTAGCTGATGAACCCATAAATCTGTTCGACATGTTCAAGGGTCTTGCAGTCTCGAATGCGCGAGCTACATCTTTGAATCTTCTGCATGAAGACGCGGAGATGCTTGGATACACTGAGCAAGGAGATGTTGCCCAAGAAGGGCACGTGCTAATTTCTCCCATGGAAATACAGGCTTACAAATTGGAAGTACGTCCTCACTAATGAGTTCAAAGTACCGATCCTGTTGCAGTTTCTTCAACTGGTGCCAAATGCTGGGTTAGTGGCGGTGAAGATGAGCCTGTGTTTGCTTTGAAACTGCCAATTTCAGGAATATCAGGATGACTCATCTGTATACTAATAATTAACGAAAGATAGAGCTGTTCCAGGTCTGTGACTATCTGTAAAAGTGACCAGCTCATCCAAATGATGTTTGCACAGCATTTGGTATGGACCTGTTGTTTTGTCAAGGAAATTAATTTTTCTGCGACTCCTTCCATATTGTATTTGGATAACTGGGATCTGGTGCCTGATAGAATGTGTTGACTGTTGTCATTAGAAAATTTTGCGTTATAAGGGTGATTTTGGTTTAGGACTAATTGATGTTTAAAATGCTTATATACAATATTCTTATTGTTAGTGTGATTGATTTTGCAACAGTGTTTCCTGGAAACAATTTGTGATGTTTTTGCGCATGCCTAATCGCCTTTGGAAAAATTGTTGGTCCAAGTGGTCCAATAGAATTATTTGATTCCCTTGTGTTTGATTATATATCAATATCACCATGTTTTATTGATCAATATCTAGTGTCTATGTTCGGTTTACAATTGTTCCCTTTACAAGTTGTATTACATGAGATTCAAGCATAGATTACACAATTTATTACCTTGTACTACTAATTCTGCTTTGGGCTTCTTCAATTCAAGATCTTCACTACTCTAGTCTAGGGGTGGAGGATACCACCCCCACAGCTCTTTGGAACTGTACTCTGTAACTTGTCTTAGGCTCAAGTAGTTTTCAAAGCCTCCTGCTATGTACTGTGAACTCAGATCATACGTAAAATTCCGTGTTGTACCCTTCTCCTAACTCAGTGACCAATACCACTACGCTTGTTGCCTCCACATGGGTTTTGTATCTTCGCCTCTTGGAAAATTGTTGACGCTAATCAAGCCCCTGAGGTAAAGTGGCAACAATCTCATGATCGTTCCAGATTTCCAATGGTTTAATCCCTTACTTTAGGAACATTGACCTAGGCTGCTGTGTAGTCTTCTCTTCGAATCAAGATCCTCTCCTTGAGGTTTCTATTTGACTTCCTACTTGCTAGATCATTGGGTCCACTTTTAGACCTAATTTCGATAATCCGAACTGTTCACATTTTAAGATTTGTTGAGTATATCATACTTATAAAAAATCAAGTTGATCGGATATCAAAAAATATGTATTCGGATCATGGAACTAAAAATTATTTTTTTTTAAAATTTAATAAATAATTTTCCGAACACATGTTTTCTGATATCCAATTAATTTGATTTTCTACAGGTATGATATACTTAACAAATCTTAAAATGTGAACGGTTCGAATTATCGAAATTAGGCCTAAAAATGGACCCAATGACCTAGCAAGTAGGAAGTCCAGTAAGAATATCAAGGAGAGGATTCTGATTCTCTTCCTGTGTTTGGTCTGTATTTTCTGCTGCTTTGTCTAGTTGTCAGTCTTTCTTGTGGGGTTGATGTATGGCATGCTTCCTAACTTTGTAAGCTATCAAGTTGTTAGTGTTATGGGGGTGTTTGTTTGGAATTTTTTGAGTCAATTTATAGTTTTTGACTTTGGAAAAGTTATTTTGGATTATTTGATTAAACTTATTTTAAGCAGTTTTTTATTCTAACAACTTATTTTAATTCAGAAAAATTAATTCTGAAAGGCTGCTCATCCCTTACTTCTGATTATCAGTTTCTGCTGTGAATATGTTAATTTACAGTTACTCTTAGATTTTTTTTTTAATTCAGAAAAATTAATTCTGAAAGGCTGCTCATCCCTTACTTCTGATTATCAGTTTCTGCTGTGAATATGTTAATTTACACTCTTAGATTTTTTATTTTTTTATTTTTTTATTTTTTAAAAATAAAAAAAAAACCCAAATGGACTATAGATTATTATTATTATTTTTTTTTTAATAAAAAATTTAGACAAGTAGTGAATAATAAAAAATAAAAATTAATTGAAAAAATTACTTAATAACTTATTTAATAAACACTATTTAACAACTTAAATCTATAATCCAACAATTACACCAAACAGATTAACAGTTTCTGATTAAAACCATAATTTATAATCTATTAAGTTATAATCTATAATCTATTTTAACAATTACATCAAAAGGAGCCATATAATCCTCTTTTTTGTTATTTTATTTTTATTTGCATTTGCTTAATCCCCATTATCATCATGGGCATTTTATTTTCTATTCACAAACAATGCAATTCTGTTTTCAGTTCACACGCCTCATTGAAGCTTGTACCACCCAAATATGGTATCAACTAATGGACTTGTTAATCCTCATTATCAATATCATCATCGGCATTTCTTTTTCTTTTCACAAGCAATACAATTCTGTTTTCAGTTCAAACACTTAATTGAAGCTTAAAATCCCACTACTCAAATATGGCATCAAGTTGAAAAAGGGCTCTAATCATCACACCATCTCTCTTGTATGGAAAGACCAGTCAAACAACATTCCATGTAGGTGTAGTTTCAAGGCCAACACAAGAAGACAGAAATGACACAAGTAACACATCTAGATTAAGTAGAAATGCAGCATTTTAAGTAATTGTATGTTGCTTTGAATTTGCCACTGAAAGCTAACTTATAACTGACAAAAACAGTAAAAGTATAGCGTACAGATCCACTGCATATTCATTACAAATTCCACTGTGTTGTCCAACGAAAAATACCATACTCAACGAGTAAAGATGCATGATGACATTTAAAAACAGCAAGCTTAAGTGTGATACAAATTGACGCTTCAAGATCTCAATCCATCTAGCTGCAACACGTTCAAATCCATCTGAATTCAAGTACAAGCACGGTGATCTTGAGGAGCAGAGTGACAAACTTCTAACATTTTTGTAGAAGTTTGTCATAATCACATTCAATTCTCAAAATTGATAAGCTACTATTTTGATCTGCTCCAAACACTTCAAGAAGGTGAAAACTAAGTTGGAAGCAAATCCCTTAATTACCCTTCGCACATTCCACCTGCACTGTCAAATCCTTGACTCCGGCATCATGTAATATATGTGACACCTGTGCCTTAGCAGAAGCCTTGTCTTTCTCCGTTGAGACATGAAGATGAAGAGTGCCGACAACATCTGTGCTCGTGAAACTCCACACATGCAAATTTTGAATGCCACATACTCCCTTTATCTTCACAATATCATTTATAGCTTCCTTAAGGTCCTGTTCGTGAGCCTTAGGGACTCTTTGAAGCAAAATTTCAGCAGAGTTCCTGAGCAGAGGTATTACAGAAGATACAATTAATACGGAGATAAATATTGAGCAGGCAGGGTCTGCAACAAGCCATCCCTTATACTTGATTAAGAGGGTTGAAATAACAACGCCAACACTTCCCAAGGTATCTGCCAAAACATGCAAGAAGATGCCTTCCATGTTGTGGTCAATGTGGTGGTGGTGGTGTTTTTGCACATCTTCTTTGTGAGATGGTAGTTCTTTCTGTTGAGAAGTGCTATTTTTTGAAGACAGATGGACTTCCAAATCTGAACTATGAGCATGGTTGTGAAGATTTCCTCGAACATGTGAATCTCCCCCTGAGTGGACTTCAACAGAATGACTGTTGAAGCTTCTTGAAGAACTAACTGTGCTTTTGTGGAGATGCTGATCAGCATGCTGTTGCTTATGATCATGATGATGGTGATTCTCCTGGTGGTTGTGATCATGAGCATGGTCATGATGATGATGATTCTCCTGGTGGTTGTGATCATGAGCATGGTCATGGTGATCGTGAACATGATCATGGTGATCATGACCATGGCACTTGGCACTACTAGTTTTGCGGCATTCTGTATTGTCAGGACCGTGATGGTGATTACAGTCTTGGTGTACATGGGTATCACTGCATGAGTCATTATGGCCAGAACATGGTTTTTCATGGGAGTCATTGGAAACAACTATACATTCATGATCATGACCATGAGCTTTATGATCATGTGAATGATGATGGTGGTGGACGCTGGAGTTGGAGTTGGAGTTGGAGTGGGAGTGGGAACATGATCCTGTTCCACCATGGGCGTGATGATGCTCTTCGTGGAAAAAAATCAAACCGACCACATTCACAAGAAGCCCTCCAACAGAAACTGTCAAAAGACTATTAGTTGATATTTCTTGGGGGTCCAATATCCTCTCAAATGACTCCAACACAATTAGTGCTCCAACAAGAACCAAAAAAACAGCATTAACATATCCTGACAGAACCTCGAATCTCCCACGACCATAATTAAACTGGCTGTTTGCTGGCAGCCTCGAAATATAAGAAGCATATAATCCAATTGCAAGAGCTGCACAATCGAATAACATGTGACAAGCATCGGATATCAACCCAAGACTGTTGCTCATGAACCCGGCAACAAATTCCACAACCATGTAACCCGTGTTGATCAAAAGGAAAAGTGCAATCTTACGGGACTTTCTTTCACTCAGAATGTGGCGGATAGGCTTCATGATTAAGGTAGTAAACGAATCTGAACGCTCTAAACCCAATTCAAGATAACTTGAATACAGAGGATCCAATTCTCTAACAGCGATCCCAAGCAATAAACCACATATCAACAATCCCCAAAGTGAAAGCTCTGGAAAATAGAACAGCTCCAAAAGAAGAGTACATACGAAAGTGACAAGAAATTCCCTCTGCAAATCTTTGGAATTTACTAACTTCTCATCACTGTAATTCTCACTCAAAAGTACCCCAAACACAACAGTATTAGCTAAGGGCCAACCTAAACTTCCAATAGAAATACTGTCTCCATCTGCTTCAAACAAAAACATACTAACAACAAAAAAAAATAAGAATGAAAAGCACAACTGTTGTGTAAAACAGCGAAATTAACCGAACCCGTTTTTGACCCAATTCCCTAACACTCACCCAATTCATAGAAACGCGTTCATAGCACCCTAAAAATCCAGAGAGAAAAGGCAGCAACATCGGCCAAATCCTAAAACAATTCTCACTAGGAACCACTGAAAACCCGAATTTAGCAACATTTACAGCAGAGAATGGAAAGCATTCGATTCGATCCCAACTGACCGATAACAAAAACAACCCAATAAACAATAAGAAAAACCCACGTACCTTAGATGATCGAATTCGATCCAGATGGCGATTTCGGCCCTCGAAGAAGAACCGAGCAGCGACGTTCCCGGACAATTCGGCGAGAATCATGGCCGCAGTGCCGCAGTACAGGAGGGCTTGGAATCTGATGAGGAAGACGATAGCAAGAAGGAGAGATTTGGAGAGAAGAAGCCTGTGCTGAGATGGGGAAATCGAGGAGAGAGAGAAGATGGGTTGTAGTTGTTGTTTTTGACGGGAAGAAGATGGAGAGAAGAGAGAGAAGGCAAAGGAGAAGAGGAAGGAAAGGAGGGAGACGAGGAAAGAGAAAGGAAAGATGGAGAAAGAGGAGGGGGAGGAGCGGAGGAAGGGGAGGAGAGAGTAGAGAGAGCGGAGAGAGAAGAGGAGGAGGAAGAGGAAAGAGAGAGAGGTTTTCTTGGTGGGTGATTTGTTGTTGATGTTGAGGATGGAGAGGCGGTGTTTGGAAGGAGTAGGGGTTGGGGTTGATGGAGGGTAAGGGTATACAGGGTAGGATCTAGGGGTGGAGGTTGCGGCGGCGGCGGCGATGGTGGTGGGGATGGCGGTGCGTGAAGGGAGTGAGAGGCGGTGAGGGCGGTGGTGGTGGTGGTGGTGGTGATCGGCCATTGCTGACTGACTCTGTAATTTTGGGGAAATCCAAGAGAGAGAAGACCGCAATGCAACCCAGAGAGATAGATATTTGTTTGTTACTCAAAGCCCACTTGGTTAAAAGAGGGGCCAACACTGGCTGGCTGTCTCTGGTCCCCTAGCTTGGGTCCAAGTCTACGTGCCTAGTTTTTATTCTATGACTGAAGTAATATAACCGTTGCCGAATCAGATTTTATTATTTTTTTTACCAGTGGATTTCTATTACATTGTTTAAGGATCTGTAATTAGGAGTTTTCAAATGGTCCATGGATAAAAAATTTCATATTATTCAATCCGACTAACCCGTCCCAGCTCGCTAGAGTGTCCAGCTCATTCTAATTCATAAAAGATGATTTAGGGTTTTGGATTGAGTTTTGTAATCTAAGTCCGTCCATAATCCCCGGTCCATAAGAGCTTGTATAGATAAATCTAATGTTTAGTTTGATTTTTTTTCCCTCATTTTCAAGTGTTTTTTTTTTTTTTAATCCATTTTCCCCCCTCCCCCCCCCCCCTCTACTTGTAGGTATTATATGTTACTTGATTGTTTTTTTAATTATATGAGATGTAAAAAGGTTAAAAAAAAAAAAATTCAAAATACTTGAATATCTTGGAAAGAAAACAAAAAAAAATAACTAATGAAAATATTAAAAATATGTACAATTTAATAATAAGTGTAATGGAAAATGTGTAGTCCAAATCAGTTTGATTTTGACCATAAGATTTGGGCTTGTGAGTGAGATACGATTTTAACTTTTTAAATAGGCTTGACTCATTGACTGGTTAAATTCTGAAAAATTCATTAAAATATGAGATTTGAACCCAATAATTATGGGTCGAGTAAATCTAACATACCTTATTGATGACCCCTATTTATAATGAGTTTTTTAAAAAATAAAAAATAATGATAAATTCTTATGATACACGCCAAAAAAAATAAAAATAATAGAGAGAATCTCAGTCGGTTATTAATCTTCTAACACTTGTCTTGTTATTTGTTAAATGTATGGTGTTTGAACCAATAAAAATTAATTTTTAGCACCACAAATTCTTCTCCAACCACACTAAATAAAATGTTAGACACCTAAAAAATTCTATCAAATGTGAGATCCACATGGAACCCACATTGTGTGGATTCCATATCCATATAAGATATTTGATAAAATTTTTAGAATCTCTAACATCACTCAAATAATTTTCTTGAAAATAAAGAATATAAGTCTAGGTATATAATTAAGATTGTTCTAGTGTAGCAGGTAACATGTAGTAGGCAAGTAGTCTTGACTCTTCTCTAAGTTGTAGAGAAATTGATTCATGCAATTTGAACTATTACAACAGGCAGATAACATTTGTCACCGTTTATACATATAATTTTTTTTTTAAAATTTAGAAATACAAAAAAAAAAAAAAATCATAAAATCAGATATAATGATAATTTCTACCTTTTTATAAGTTCTATACTTATCTAAAAAAAATTGTATCTGATTCGATAATTAATTTATATAAATAAAAGAATTGATTTTTTGTCGCTCCATTTTTCTTAAAACAACGTCATGCAAATAAACTGTTTATAAATATGATTTTTTGTTTGATCAATTCTTATACAAAATGTTTTCGCTCCTATTTTCATAAATTAAAAAGGAAACTCATAACCGTGAAAATTGTAGATAGATTTCCCAAGTTCCAAGACAACACGTGTCCCCTATTTTCGGAATACAAACGAAGTTTGAAAAATTCCAACATGTCTATGCCACCCGTAAGATGCACAACGAACGGTCTATTCTATTCTATTGTAAGCTCTCTCTCTCTCTCTCTCAGAGTTGGCTTCTTCAATCTCATACTCAGAGTTGTTCAAAAAAATCTCATACTCACAGAGTCCTTATCATTCCCTCTAAATAACATCTCCATATCAATTATTAGCTTCATCTAACAAGTTACTTTTAGAAGAGCTACGTTTTCAATAGGCTGACGAGCTTGAAATGAACAATACATATGCATTCTTTACTGTAAAAAAAGAAGGTAATGAGTAATGACTGACTTCTGTTCTTATTATGCTATGAGTAATTAATATTTCAATTCAATGGGATGATTTTGTTGATGGGTATATCTTCATATTGCTTTTTTGTTAAGTAGGAATTCATTCGGTTTGAACTGCTTGAAGTGAAGATTTTCCAAGAAAGGGGAAGTTAATATTCGTGGTGGGGTGGGGACTTCATGGGCATGTGCTGCTAATGACTGAACCTGATCCAAACAGGCAAACCTTGAGGGTTTGATCAGGTAACCCCAAAATAACTTGTTTCTAGTATTATCTCATATCAACCATTTAATGATATAAAATTTTCAAAACACTTAAATATTAAGGTATAATTTAATGGTTATGAGTAAATTGACGCACGGGAATAGAAAATTTTGAAAGCATGTGATCTCAATGCTTGCATACCTATGGTCATTGAAATATATAAATAGAAGAATATTGTTGTATAATATGAGAAATTTAGCCAAAACTCCTTCATTGAACCCTTGTTTGGTTAAAAGGACATCTCAATTTATTTTGTTTCATAAACTCTTGAGGAGAAAATACATAATTGAGTAAGGATAAAGTAAAATATCTTTTTTTTTCTTGGACAATATTACCAGAGTAATATGTTACTATGAATCAGAGTAATATGTTACTGTCAAACAAAGTAATTGTCAAACAGAGTAACATGTTACTATTACTGTTTATATCAATTTCGACGGTAAAATTTTTTTAAAATTTTTTTTAAAAAGAATTTCATACTCAACATAGATTTTATTTGATAAATTTAGACGAGAGAATTCTAAAAATACTAATTTTATTAAAAATCGTTATCTATATCAAAAGTTATATTATTTTAAAATTTAATATTTTGATAATAGTGGTTAATGTTAGACTTTTTTTTAAAAAAATTTGGGTAAACTTCACTTTACCCCTTGTGATTTAGGCCGGGTGCAGTTTACTCCCTGACATTCAAAAAGCACCATATAACCCTCTGTAGTTGATGGACTAAAACGCACAGTTAACTTTTCTATTTAAGATAATAGAATGTGAAACTCACGCTCCTCTATAGATTGTGGGTGCGTTTTTACGACGAAAGTATCCTTTTTATATCTTCAAATTTACAAAAGATGCATTCTACTTTGGAGAACCAGTAAAGCAAATGGACCAACCTACATCAACAATTGATTGGGTGCTTGATCCTTTTTCCTTGGGGACTCACTGAAGACAACGGCTCAGGCTCATGATCCAAAACAAATTTATCCTTTGTTGCATTCCGAAATTCCTCCACAAGTAATCTCCGGATTTTCTGTATATTGATGTGTAAGTATGAAGCTGAAACAATTATGTCGTGTTTGGATCAATAATTTGCAGAGGGAAAGAAATGTGAAGCGAATGGTGAAGGAAATACAATCTAAATTTTTGTCACATTTCCCTTTCATTTTCCTTTCAGCCTTTGAGGAGCCTCGTCAATGAAACGGTCCATAAAGAAAAGAACAAATAGACCACAGTCATAGTCATTCCTCTGTTGTGGAACCTGGTGAGAGAATGAATCGAATAAGGCAGAAAAGATACAAGTTAGAATAAAAAACTCAATGGAAATGTGAGAAATTCTCGACACCATGTGCTCGAAAAAGAAAACTACTGCCATTAATAAAAGGACGAGGAAGGATCAAGCACCCAATGCCATTATTACATATTATATCACTAAATTTAATGGGACAATATTTGTGGGGATATATTTTCTGAGTACCAACACGTGGCAAGGTGACGCCGACGTGTCAGCTGAGATGCCACGTGTCCTGGTCGTGACGCCGAGGTAATCTCGGCAAGGCCGAGGTTATCTCCGAAGATATCGAAATCCGAGATAAGCGGATAAAGGACAAGAGTCCTAGAATGAAGAGGGAACTCAACCTGGATATGGACAAGAGTCCTAGATTGGGAGAAGACTTCAGTTTGGGTAAAGATAAGACTCTTAGAGAGTTTATCCTAATCCCACTGCAAGTTCCAGATTAGCAGTAATCCTAAGTCCATTAGGGCCAGGCTCCTATTGGGACTAGGATTGTATTGGCTATAAAAGAGAGGCACCCCCGTGGGTCTAAGGTACGCAGTTTTATACTCAAGCTTGTGAGTTTAGCACTTGATTATCTTTGAGAGATATACTGACTTGATCGTCGAAGTGCCCCCGGGTGGAAGAGCCACCGCCAGAGCCTTTTTTTTTTGTTACAGGTTTGTTAAAGCCATCTATTCTGCCGGTGCTCTCCAGCTGATTATTAGGCGGGCAGTGTGGTCAGAAAATTACCCACACAATTTCGCGCCGTCTGTGGGAATCTTAGAAGAATAGATGGCCAGTGACGAACAGAGGGAAAACATTGGGGGCGACACTCCTGCTAGGAGTGGCAGACCAATTGATCTTGACGTTGAAGGAGACAACCACAGTACAGAAAATCATGACCAGGGTCACGGAGAGAAAGACGTCGGCCAGGAAGGCAGTACTTCGAAGCGAACAGACCAAAGCAAGTATTATAACGAAGATAACCTTCAGGTATGGAGGGAAAGGTGCCTACGGAGAGATGAGGAAGTAAAAGACTTGGCAAACAAGTTGGTAGACCTACAGTCAGTGGTCAACTTCATGATGCAAAACAATGTTATGCAGCCACCATACCCGTTGCAAGATACGCCGATGCCAGCAATTAACACCCAGAATGGAGGAAGGAAAACAATCCCCGAAGCCCCTCAGCACACCAGGAGTGGAAGGCACTCACACCGACCTTCTAGGGAAGTCGGACGAGAGGAGCCGAGGCAAGAAGAGTCCCGAAGGACACATCGAGTGAAGGATCCAGGGCCTAAAGAACATCGGCATGTTCAAGGGCAGGCACTCTGCTTTGACACAACCCATGGAGAAAGATCGAAACGGGCCCACCACGAGGCCGAAAGTAGTGTGCCAAAAAGATTGAAGTCCAGAGATAGCTGAGCTCCAGGTAGGAGTAATGAAGACTTGAGGGATTACCTCAAAAGGAGGCAGCAGAATGTTGAAGCCGAGGTGACATCCCCAGTTAAGCCAAGAACACCGTTCTCGGTGGAACTGAACAA